TACTACGATATTCAAATTGACAATCAAAATTTTAATGTATGCTTATAAAATAGATGTGTTATTCGCGATTGCACTGTAACAGAGTACCGTCAATCGATGTTCAGGGTTTTATAATCTGATAGTTGAAAAACTGAACTCAAATTAGCACCAAGCAATATCAAAGACTATGGGCTACAATGAGTCAGAAGAAACATTTGAAGAAAATCATTTGAGTCGACAATGTGGAGCGCAAATTATTTATCCAGCTTGCTGAAACGCCATCCCTCAATTTCGGCCAAATATTGGATAACGTCGCCGTTGCTTGGTTTTGCTTGATGTACGCTGAGAGTGAAGCTAACAGCTTGTCGCCTTGCACGACCAAAGAATGATGCAAGACAAAAAGTTCGAGCGTGACCAAACCCTGTGATTCATATCAGTCACTCTGATATGATTCTACACCATGTCAGACTCACTTGATCAAATAATGATTGACTCAGTGGCCACAGTGTTAAGCGGATCGAGACGGTGGGAACCTTCCTTAACGATGCTATAGTGCGGAAACTTTAAACCGCCCTCAGCAACGAATTATGTAAAATAATGTAAAATACCCTCAACGGATACTAGTCCGCCGTTCGAAAAACAATTTGCTGGTTTAATTTTAGTTAATAAAATTAATTTTAAATTTTTGTTTCTTTCACAGGTGCTAAAGTGCCATTGAGCTGTGGTCTGTTTAAACCCGTTATCTCACTAGTATCAGGGGAACTGTGCTCATACGCCACCCGCCTCAATTTTTGTTTTAATCTGTCGATGTCAGTTTAAATCAACATGGTACAGAAATCTTTGTTTAAACTGTATGAGGTCAAATGAACGCAAGTTCATCATTTTGATTCTAATCGTTGGACCCAACAGCGCACAGTGCGAGTGTCGGTTTGAACCGCTTGCTTTTCAATTTACTCTTTCGGGCTTCACCCTTCTTCCATTCTATATATATTCAGGTACAGCTTTATTCTTCTTTTCCTTTTTCTTGCATATGCAACAGTAGTGGTATTGTGGTTATTGTATCTTCATAGCCATCTGAAGTTAATTAAGCTTAGACAGCAAAGTAACCCAGAGCCGTTGGAAATTCAGATTGATATCAGGCAACATCAGCCGCTGCGCCAAAGGTCATATGCCTTTTCACAAGCAGGTTTGCCTCAGCGAGTTGTTTTCTCCTGTTGCAGGATACTCCAATGTCTCTCTGGCCAGTGAGACCAAGCGAGGGAAAAAACTTTTCGAATGTTCCCATTCTCCTATTGGGCAATTTAATCTAACCAAGTCAGGTACTGGTCTCTGAGTTTATCTGAGAGTTTGTCATCAGCTACTCGCACGAGGTACCATCATACCTTGGAGATATTGCGCAGACAGAGTTCTTGGCAACCGTCTACACAGTTTTGTGGCGTTTTAAGGCAACAGATGTTTCGAACCTGTTAAAACGAGCACCGCGAATACAGTTTTTTTTCAGAATGATGATCTTCATCTCTCTACTGATAGTTTGATCCTTTCGTGTGGCATTCAGCTTGCCATCATTCACTTTTACTAATCCACTGCGGTTATTCACTTAAAGATCAGTGTCGCCATCGTTAATCAGCACAGTTCTGAGGTATTTTAATTGATCTACCTTATCCGCCGTAGCATCATCCCATAGTATTTTGAGACTGACAGCCATATGCAGGGGTGCCCTCATAATCATCGTCTTCGATATCATGGGTGTACTCAAGGTCAGTTAGAAACATCCAGCTGTATCCGTTTATCTCCTTTGGTTAGAAAATGTGCTAGATGGCAATACCTATACATTTGCTCCAAATTTTTTAGTCTTGTACGGTCCTACTGATTTTATAAACTTTTTGTGATATACAACGAACGACGCATTTTTCCTGCTTTTACCACGATAAAGCTATTTCATTATAGAAGAAATAAAGTAAATTATGGGCAAACGGAGAAATCGACGACGTCAATTTTTGCAGCCTAAACGGATGAAACCTTTACCCACTGAATTCGACTGTCCGTTTTGCGAGCATCCGAAGACTTGCGAAGTATTAATGTAAGTTATATCTTTAAAATTAATCTCCCATAAACATGGTGTTTCAGCTAGACGTTCAGGCGATAGCTGAGTTGACTATCCTGTCAGTGTATTAGAAACGTAAAAGCATGACGCAATTTTCAACATGTCATGTGAAAAACATGTTTTGGCTTATCATACGGCGTTGATGAATCAAATATGAGAGGACTGTCTATAAAAAAAATAATAAACCAAGTCGGAGCCAAGAAAAGCCGGAACTGTAGGACATAAAAACTAAACGCGTCAAGTGATTTCAAATGTCCACGCAATCCACGAGACCGAACCACTTCAAAAGTTTACATTGTAGGTTGTAAAAGACCAGAATCATCGATATTTCACCTGCTTCTAAAATAAGTATCACTGATCAGATAGGAGGCTATAATGTCCAGCATATGGAGGCTAAAATCAAAAAATTTGATTGAGCAGGATATAGCATTTAATGCTATTTGATCTGCAGAACAAGAGACAGGTTATTGGCGTATTAAAAGCACGTGTTACAAATCGGAAAGCTAATGCAAAATTTATGGTTATTAGAATAGCTACACTTTTATATCTTCAGTCAAAAGTTCATGAAAATCATCCTGAAGTAGTTGTGTTAGTAAAATTATATGAGATAATTATTCATTCTAACTACCCATGATATGATGATACTGTCGAAGACCCAAAACATAGCAACTTAAATTTCATGAAATGAGCGACATTTTTTAAAAATATTTTTAAATACCATGGTTGGAAGCTGATCAAGTGGTTCATGGTTTAAGTGTATGCCTTTCAAGAGCCGGTCAGTCTCCTCGCTTCTGTGAGAGATATACTTTGTAACATCGTTTGTAATGTCAATGATTGTCTTCCTGCGTTAATTACTTCCACCAGGCACAATTGCCCAATATTTAATTAAGCAGCACGTAGCATACTAACTAGGTTTTGCAGAGGAACCTTGATCTAACCTTCTGGGCTGTGTGTATATGAAATTTGTCCATACTCGCTTGCATAATTTCTATTCGATTTAACAATAATTCTATTTTGGTAGTGATTCAGCCTCATCCTATTTTAGGAACGTGAAAGCTAAAGTTGGGTATATTGAATGTCGAGTGTGTGGAGAAAATTTCCAAACATCGGTTCACAACTTGTCCCTCCCGGTCGATGTTTACGCTGATTGGATAGACGCATGCGACGAGGCGAATCGCATGTTTTGGGCTCGTAAATAGCGGTTAAAACCATAATTCATGAAAATTGCTTAACCATGCAATGTCTGTAAAAATGGGCAGAATGATCATTTTCTTTTGTGATGATGCAATGTGATGTTGGCGACAGAATCTTGATAAATGTGAAGGGATCTTAAGCGGTACGGTTCCTCTTTGTGTGAAAATTCGCTAGCACAGTTATTTTCTATATGATTTATGTCTAGTTCGCGTACGTTGCAGTATAAGATGAGATCAACCTAGCATACGTCTGTTTTGGAAAGGCATTTTGTTGTGTGAGTATTCAATTAAACGTTTTTGCATCATATTTGTTTATCCAGTTTGTTTACTTTTTGCAACATGGTTCTAATTATAATGTTTGTGCAAAACAGTTGTTTGTTAGGTTCCGCATTCTGTATTCTCTACCTCAACCTCAAGCAGTTTGTTAAACAATGAATGTAGTGACAAAAGCAAGATGAACATGTATAAAACTGAGCACCCATCTTATCGGTTTTCTAGCATGCTGCTAGTTTTCGATACCGCAGTTATGAAAAGTGACATATTTCTTTTACCACCAGATTTATAGGCAAACAGGCACCGTGACCTTGATTTTCCAGCGATATCGAAATCCATCAATATGCTAGTAAACTGATATGATCGGTATTTATTTTTATGTATAAATGCGCCCATGGCCAGTGGAATATAGGGCAGGTGTCCGGAATTGCTTAAATGGTCTCTTAGGCGGCTAGAGGAAAGGGGATGGTGCCTGTTCGCCATGTAAGTCTAGTAGTAGAAAACAGATGTCAAAGACGAACCTAACTGATCGGATTTATGTTCATCCTGGTAAGCATGTATTAAAAGTCGGTAATTATGATATACGTCGCTTCAATCTGAACAGGAATATGTTGCAACTTATTATTCAAATTACCTCTTCGATTAGTTCATCACATACAAGGTAAAGTTAGATTCATTTACGATTTGTACAACGCTGCTTGAGGCACTAGGTTAATCAGTAACGATACTCTGGATGCCGACACTTAGCACTGATGGACTAAGTAATGCCGAAAGACAAAATCTGATGCTTATATGAAGTCATTTCAGGCATTGACATAATAATAAAAAATGAAGAGGAACAAATAGTAAAAACAGCTAACTGAGGCAAAGAGAAGAACTTGCGTAAAGCGAGCACATACCATCGATGCAGCTTTCCTGGGTTTTGGTTAATGATGATCTGCACAAAAATAAATCGATGCTGCTAAACCTAAACGATAACAGCATAAAACACTCACTATATACGTTTAATATGCGGGATTTCTAATTCTTCACTCTCCATTTGGGTAGAATAACATCAGCTTTCCGTACTGGATATTACGTGTCACACGTTATCCGGATCAGAGATCGATGTCCGTCCGTACCATCATCAGAGAGTAAGCGACGCGGTATAAATTGTTTATCATCGTATTCCGTTAGGTCATCAATCCTTCAATTCAGATCAGTGATGGATGGGTAGTCTTTTCAAAGACGAAACTGCATCGAAAAGCATAAAATGTTATCGCTACATAGGCAGCGACCAACGGAGACGACGATATTCGTCTCCAGTCAGCATACAGTTCGCTTCATTTGTTACGGTTGACATTTTCAGAGGACTAAACAATTAATGCCCACTTGACTAAATGTTAATTAACCTACAGTAAAGCAAGCACAAAGAACTCTCTAATCAGCTCCAAGCGCGTCACTTGCTCTTGACGACGGAATGAGCATTGAACTTTGCCAGAAGTCTGCACTTTGATGGAGACCCGTTAACAATTGACATAGCATTTTGTTTTATATTAATAGATTGTTTCCACGCTGCTTTGCCGCTTTTTCATCACTTTAAAGTCGCATGCTTGCAGCCCAGGAAATATGACAGCGCGGTGTAGCTATGCCTGGAAGAATGCACGCGAATGCAAATGACCTGATCGCCTCTTTTGGAGCGGTGAATCTTTTCTGTCACTTAATGTAGAAATAATGATTAGCAACTGTTAGTAACTGACATGTTTCTGCCATAAAAAGTCAGGAAACAATTTTCTGCTAGATATGTTGTGTGCGGCACTTAAAATATTAGCTGGCTAGCAGTGTCCAATATTTATGTCGTAGGTCGTTCAATACCTCCCTTCTAGTATTCCTCATCACATGAACCCATTCCTTAGTTCTTCTTTTCAGATTGAGGATGTGTAGAAAAACAATGGCAGATGGTAGAAACAGTTTTTCAGGTGACAAAATTTTCACAGTGGTAGTGATCAACATAGTTGCCATAATTCAAACTCTCATGAACTACAATATCGTTAGTGAAGGTGTTAAATACCAAGCATGAGAGTACAGAACCTGCCTGCTAAAAAAAATTTTCGATAAAATTTAAGGTTTCTTTTCTTAAAATTTACCGTTTCCGACAAACTGACAGCAATGTTAGAAAAACAAATGAGAAAATAGTTCTCTAGCCTTTGGATGATAGAGAGCTTTGCATTTAGCCTAACAAATAGAGTTTTTCCAATTCCAGAGTGTACAGTTGAAGGCGAATGGCAAATCGAGAAAACCGATCTTCCGTTATTTCCACCTTTGCCCAGTACTTTGCAAATTCAATTTGTTAAATAGGCGATGGTGTTGTCAGCCTTGAATGTTGCCCTTATACAGCTGCAAAGAGTTCATGTAGTTCGTCATCATTTTCTCCAGAGTTTGCAAGATCAGACTTTCAGAGCATTTCAATAGAACTGCGATAGAAACTATTAACTGAAAATCGCCCGAGTCATCTGATGCTGATGGTTTCTTGTTCACTGGAGTAATTGCAGCAATATTCGCGCGCGTCAGTGCCAATCCTATTGCTGTACTAGTGCAGTTCAGATCTTGAATTTTGTTGTTCTTCTGGCGTCCTTGAAAATTCATAATATTGTCTGCAAATCTCAATTGGCTTAATTAGTATGCATTTGTATTCAATTACAGAAGTAGGTAACAATATACTTTCGTAATCTTATTGCTTCAACATAAAATATGTGATAAACAGAACGTGCAAGTCAATCACTTATGATGCGAATACGGTAATTAAAGCGCCTATCAGGTGCTCTGAGGGACGCATTGTTTTGTTTACTTAATGTTACCGTGCAGAATTCAGTGCATTCATTTAGAATTTGTTAGTTTATCTGAGATTTATTTGCTTGGTCTATTTCATCGTATATATAGTCTGTGAATTATGTCGATTACTTGATAAAAATTGTGGATTTGCAAGACACCGAGGCACGAGCCTTCTGATACTGACGAATGTTATGAATCGGACGGAATACAACGTGCTTCAGCACTCTTAATTTTTAGTGGTGTGAATGTCCTGTTTTGTGTAAATTTTCGTATTTGAACATAATGGCGTTAGCAGTCATGAGTTGTGCCATGACATCGTGGGTGGCAGGATGTGCTTATGATTGTACTTGCTACAGAAGAGAGTAGATCGTGACATACCTATATCTTATACTTATGTCGAAAATTCAGTAGGAAGACAGTTCATTTGGCTCAAAGAAGGGCAATGAATAATCTGTAAAACGCTTTGCGTCCAGTCTAGCCAGTGATTGATCATTTTCATCAGTCATACGCCGATAACACTACTAT